AGAGAAGGAAAATAAAATAACCACACATAATATAATATAATATATATGGGTCAGGATCGTGGGGACACACAAAAAACCACAAATTTTGACACATCTTTTTAGCCTTTAGATGCATCTGGAACCAAAACAAAATTTTATTTATTATTTTATTGGGAATATTAAACACATTGTACGAAGAGTGTTTAATTCTCTTCTTTACCATTTTCTATCCCTTCGGGTTCAAATTATCCTCTCTTCACCCCTTCCTCTCCATTAAAAATCCGAGCATCTTCTTTGTCTCCAATGTGCCTTTCATCTCTTCCTGAATTTGCTTCATCATTTTTTCTTTGCTGGAAAAGTGGAACAAGTGCAATGTCCTCACATTCCTCCAGGCCTCATCTGTCTATTTCAGCAAATCCTTACTAACAACAATGGATTGCTAAAAGAACTCTAACTACTATGAGATCCAAACAGCAAACATACACCTCTTGGGTACATATTTTAGAAATTCATTCTGTAATTTCATATTGTTTAGCAAAAGTGAAAGTTTTTCCATTTCAATCTAAAAAATTATTGAATGACATTAAACCCATATGCAAAGATGCGACAAAAGAAAGAATTAAAAAATAATAAAAATCAATTATCAAGAAGAAAAAAAAATCAATTTTGAGAGCCCATTCATGGAAGAAGATTCAGTTTCCATGCCTTTTAATTTTTTTGTTTGTTTGCTGGTCTTTTGCTGTTATACAGTCCATAAAATATAGAAACTAACCACGCCTATGAAATCAGCTTCAGACAATATTGTTCATCAATCTAAAGGGCTAAAAACTTCTGACCAAAAAAATGGGGTAAAAACTTGATTAGAAAATCTCGTAGCCATTGGATTTCACTGAGGAAACTACAAATTTTGCAGCCAAGACATCAAATGTTTGGGTTAAGATCTCACATGGACTTTCTCATCTCAAACCAAAATGTGTAAACAAATTATAAGAATAAATTGTAATTCTCACTACTGTATCACTAGATTGACAGTGGTATAATCCTCTAGAAGCAGTATTTCCACTTGGAGCTCAACTCAACCTTAAACTCTAATCCGTGGACTTTTTTCTATTTGGTTTCCTTCATAGGCTGTAAAAAAGATATTGCAGGGACTAGAAAGAGGGAGAATGAGGAAGAAAGCTTTTTTTTTTCTTTCTGTTCACTGATGGATGAGGAATTTTTTAAGATTAGGTAGCTTTTTTTATATATTTTTTTGTTCTGGAGAACTTGCCCAGAAAGATGGTGAAGAGAGTTTTGCCAAAGAAGAAGATGAAGGTTGTGTGGGGTGGGTCAGGTGGCCTTTGGGAAGTGAAGAAGATGATGCATATTGAAGAAAAAGGAGAGAGAATGAAAAGTTTTAAAGAGTTTAAAACTTTTTTGTTAGTTCCAATGTGTGTATTAATTGTTTAACAAAGAAGCTAATAATTTGTTCTAAATGCAATCTTAGCCATTGAAAACTCTTCAATCTAATGGTTTAAAACGTGTGCCATAATGTGTCCCCCGATCCTGACCCTATATACATAGGCTACCTACATATATATATATATATATATATACACAGAGAGAGAGAGAGAGAGAGAGAGAGAGAGAGAGATCAGACAACAGATTCAGTTACAAATTACAATACCCAACTAATACAACATTCAAAATAAGAGCCAAGCCACACAAAAAAAATGATTACCTTGTAGCTTCTGGACCAACAGCTTCACACAGCTCATATAATTGATTTGCAACCATATAACGAACACGCCAAGACTTATCCTGGTCAAAGAACCAAGTTTACATCACGTATATTGGCAAGAGCACATCAACAAACAATAAAGGCGCTGGCTATAGTCTGGAATACCATTCAAAAATATGATATACCTGTGAAAAATTAACAATGACAGGAAGAATATGGGTCACACAATCTTGTGGTTCCAACAACTTCCCAAGAGCTGCACAACCCTCTACTGCCAATAACCGAACAGAATCCTGATCTGAAAACAAAAGTGATTAGAGACAAATTCATATGCAACACCAACGCTAAATTTTGGTCAAAACCTCGTAAAGCACTCAAATTCATTAGATTTATACTTCATATATAATAAACCAAAACAAACAAACACACACCCAGGCAGTGGTAGGCCAATAAAAGACTGTACACGGGAAAAACAAGAAACAATTCTGGAATATGAATGCATAAAGGAAGGTGAAGAACTTCTATTCTTTTACTAATTTCTCCAATCAATTTTATATCTTTCCTCTATTTTCACATAGTTAAGAACAAGAAGTGGTATATGTTAACATTTGTGATCACACAAAATTAAGCACAAAAAAGCTTTGCATGAATATTAATGGATATTGCTCTATCAAAAAAAAGAAAAGCAAAAGAAATAACATTGAAGAGCAAAAACCAGAAATTTCACCAGCACATACCATCCTGCGTCAAATCCTCAAATATTGACAAGATGTCAGCTTTGAGGTGTGTGGCTTCTACAGTCGCAGCAAATTTTCCTAGGTTAGTAGCAGCAGATCTTCTAACCATGGGCATGTCATCTTGGCACAGTTGACTGTATGTTGTTCTTAGTTCAGTCCTTAAAGTCTCTGGGGCACTAGGATAAGCAATATGAAACAAACCACAGGATGAAACTCGGGCTGTAAACCATTCGCCAGCAGCAAGTCTCTGTATATTTGAAATGATAGTGTGGAAAAAGAAAGAAACTGTTACTCTAACTGCACCAAGGTACAAAGCATTCTCATATGGAAAATGTGATCAAAAAATAAGTTCTAGTAGATTTGTGAACTGTTACATTTATTGAAATGGGAAAAAAGAAAAGAAAATAAAGAATCAAACTTTGTGAACCTACTACCCTTTTACAGACATTCCACAACTCTATGCATGGGAATACCAGATCAAACCATAAGATCATGTGTCCACAGTGAAAGGGTAAGGGTCCCATCAATTTTTCTTCTGGATGCACCTTGATAGATGTTCCACTTCTGCATGCACCTTGATAGATGTTCCACTACTGTAAATGAGCCAAAATGTCATCTCACATTGGCGGAACATCTATCAAGGTGCATGCAGAAGAAAAATTGATCCCACTAACCAAACCTTCATGAACATAATAAAATTATAGTGTGACATTTATAGTTAATCTGGTTGCCAAGCATAATTTCTAAAACGTTATCTTCTCCTTGCCGGATTTCCATTTCATATACAAACAATATCTTCTGCACTCCAATTTATAACTTCAAAGCATTCCACATTTGAGGATACAGTGATCTGAGAATCAAGTTTATAAATTTTCAATGCATTTGTAAACTAGGCAAAGACTTTAAGAACATATCACATCGAGGTCTCACCTAGGGTCAAGTTTTTCTTTAAAACTTTCTACTGCCTTAGTATCAACAAATGTTATATTGTTCAAGCACTAAAACCAAATGACAAGGCAAAAAACTCAAATTAAACAATCGAAGAGAATGAAATTATCCGACCTTAACCAAAGGAATGAAATACTCCACCAAGTCCTTCTCCCTCATCTGCACCCCAATTCTACACAATGAATCCACCGCTTTGTCCCTCACACATGTTTCCTCAACAGTGCAGAGCGTTTCCAAAGGTGGGAGCAGAATGTTGGCATACTCTACACCACCTACATATGGGATAAACACCCCCAACTCTTCTGCCATTGCCAGAAGCACTTCATCATCATCATCATTGTTATCGCTGAGGAAAGGAATCAGTTCCTTCCTGGTCCTCTCTTCCCCAAGTGCACGAGCAATGGTGGAGAGCCTGCGGATTGAGTTCAACCGGAGCTGGATGTCTTCATTCTTGAGCTCGTCGATTAAAACCGCAATTGGGTATAAAGGTTCATCCACCATAGCCATCTTTTGCTACAAATTATGCCTTTAACTGAAAACAAAGAGAATTTTGAAATACTTCGAAAATCCACTTCTACATCAGATACATGTACATGTATTTAACAATTCCCTTGGCAACCAAACCGATGGGCATATGACAGGTGATCTTTTTACTCACTAATTGGAATAAATTCCATATCTATCTAAAAAGGTTACGGTACTTCAGAAAATTTAATAAAGTAATGCTTACCCGAAAACAAAAACAAATATTTCAGCCCAAAAAAAAATAGAAACAATTTCCAATCAATTTCCAACAAGATCCATCATCCATGCAAATGGTTCATAATTACAAGAATACATTACTTTGACGGTAAGAAAATGACATCTGAGAAGATCAATGAATGGAAAATCGCAGATATGTGAAAGGAAAACCGAGGCATGAAATTAATTAAAAATAATAACAATAAATAAAGTACAAGAAATATACAACATACAAAAAGCAGAACAAGAAACGAGAGAGAAATAGGTACCTGAGGGCTTGGCTGGAGAGCTCGATCTAACGGAGACTCTGTTGGAAATGGGACAGATCTTTTGGGTGAGAACCAGATAGAGAGAGAGAGAGAGAGAGAAAGAGAAAGAGATGTGCTTTGTTTAATTTTCCGTCAGGCTCGGGGATTTTCTTCTTCCTTTTTGACCAAACATTTTACAACCAGGTGCGAGACCGGATCCCGCCCGACCCGCCACCCGATTTTCTTTCTTCCATGCCCCGACCGAATTTTGCCTTTATTCCCCAGCTTAACAAAAAGAAATAAATAACATTTAAAAAAAACAAAAGAAACAATAAAATAGAATTCCCTTTTTGGCCCCAGTTTACAAAAACTCGTGAAATAATTATTTTATTTTCTAGTTTAAAAATTAACATATGTAAGAAAGGGTTTGGAGCTCGAGCATCAAGGTCTTGTGTTTGAATCCCCAATATCGCTTCATGGAAGAAAGTCGAAATTTAAGGCATGTTTTTCATTATATGGTGAACAGAAGTAGGACTCATTCACTAATGATTAAAGGCTGGTTTGTAACACAGCACAGGGCATGCTTCTGTTTTGGTAAAGATGGAGAGTTGAGACAGATCACACAAAGAAAAATAAACTACAGAATCGTCATTAAAGCGTGTAACTCCAGAGTTATCTTACAATATATAACGGAGCTAAAACTAAAAATGCCAACATCAATATGCAGTGTTAGTCAGAAACATATTGTTTCATATCCATTCTCATTATCCCCATTAATGCTCTGAGTAATAATACTAATCATAGCCTGCAAATCATCTAACCACCACCAACCCCCCCGGGCCGCACGCGGAACCAAAGGTATCGACATATCCGCGATTATATGCTCATCTTTGTCAACTATGAAAGCAAGACTGTTCTTGTGAGTAATGTCAGCAGCAGCAGCAGAAATCAGTGGCATTGTATTCTACAACTGAACTAACAGCAGGTTAAATAAAGCAGAATAGTACGAGATACGTTGATTTAGGATTTCAGACAGTTGAGCAATCTGGTCCAAAACCTGCGAGGTGGCTCTAATACTTCTGGTGATTCGACAGGTTCCTTGAAACGTGCTTTCTCACTTAATTCTTCAAATGAGTCGACAAGATTTTGAAGCCTTGCAACAAATTCTATCAACAGGGATGTAAATGTGGCTAACGACAATTGACTAGCATTTTCGTAGGTATTGGATTCTTCTGCTACTGGAGGTTCGTTAACCTCAAATTTCAGTCCTGCAGGCCATGAAACCTGTTTCATGAACATGCTTCCTGAGGAAAAACCTACGGGCGGGTTGGAGCGGTTGACATCAGTGGGTATGGGGCTCACGCCAGTTGGCATCGCAGGCATTTGGCCATCCCAACTTTGTGGCACAGGAAAAGATCTGAGATCAAGCACAGCTTCACTAAGGGATTTGTATTCCCGGAACGTATTTTCGTCATCATCCAAGTTCAATAAGTCTTGAGGATCTCCCACCTCCTTTGGCCGACTTCCAATCTCCCAGCTTTCTGAATTAACAAGAAGGTATGACTTCTGGTCAATTTTCTTTTGTAACTCCTCTGCAGCCTCATGCACTTCGTTCAGTATATCTACAGAACCTAGTTTCTCCATCTTTTTCAGTTTGTTCCCAAGTTCACGCAACACTTTAGCACCTTCGAAAACACAAATGTTGGAAGTTAAATAAAAATAGATTATAACATGTCAAATAAAAACACAAATACGTACAGATGGTTCAGGAAAATTACAATTACTCTTATCAAATGCACGAGGACCATTACAGTTGCATGTACATAAAACAAGATAAACATCCACCACAGGTTTTGATACTTAGCGAACCAGGAGGGTTGTAGTATAAGATATTGAATTGCATACAACTACAGTCTTCATACCCCCACACATATACATCATTCAATGAGAGTTCTTCAGGACAAAAACACCAAAGATGACTTGGCAGGAAGAACTTTCCCAGGCATGATAATTGAGAAAATATTAAACTCTCAGGCAAAACAATGACCTCATGTTTTCATCTGATGCGCTTCAAGATGCCCAGATAACCAAAAGAGTTGAGCATCCCATTTTAATCAATTCAGTGAGAAGGTCAAACTTTTATTTTGTGCAGCCAACGTCTCATTGTATGGAAGATAAAGTTTTGATGAAATGTCAATATTGCATATTTGGCTCCAGTTAGGATGAGACCGGGCAGAGCATTTATCTCTCCAAAACAGGTGGAATATGAACTTGAATACCCGAAATGCACAAGGGTCAGTAGATATTAGCCGCCAAAATCAGAATTTCAATTTTTGAGTCCACAGGGAATACAACCACATCAAAGACCCCTCTTCTCAAAAACTTGGTCTTGTGAACTCTTTGCATATCAATGTTCTTTCACCACGACCACACCCCACCCCAAAACCCCCCAAAAAAACCCCTTTTACAGCCAAAAACTCTTAGAGCCTTGGAAGGAGAGAAGGTGAAAGCTGCATTCAATGGCACAAGACGACTTGACAAAGATGGCAATGACACCTATTGAATAGCCAATGGGCCAGCAGACAACACAGAAACATTCTGATTGACAAAATCTTAAAGAAAAAGAACACAATGCAACCAAGCTATATTTGATGGCGAATATGCCATGACTGCCATTACTGAATGAGCTTCCTCAGGGCTCACGAGTGCCCCAGAAAAAAAAACTAAAATAATGGTAACTACATGTCATTCATATTAAAGAACAAAGGTAGACCATGAGATATATTCAAGAAACAAACAAATCTATTAAATACCCAAAGTGCACAACTTATCTTTGAAGTCAAGAAGATAAGGGAAAAAAATTACATGCTCTCAAGCACGGCTATCATATATTCTTTCCAGAGGTCTCACTAGGAAAAAATGGAAGAGTATAACCACCCATACTTGGGAAACCATAACCAAAAATCATTTGTTCATGCAAGGCCTTTGATTCACGATTTCTTCCTTTAGAATAGGAAATCAGAAGGAAGGAACTACTTTTGGAATGAGCAATACTTTTAAAAGAAAAAAAAATTCCAGAGGCTTACATATCATCATTGTCATGCTACACCAAAGTATATACAAAAGCAAAAATAAATGAAAATACAAATACAGTATCTTTGTCATTAATTGCCTCACAATGTGGTTAGAGGTGGAAATTTTTAGTACCTGTATTTCAGAAAGTACACATCCATGCAATGCCATGACCGTAAATGCACAATGCCTTAGTGCACCACCTACTTTTACATAGTTCTTCCATGGATATTTAAGCATTCTGTAACGACCATGAGGTGGCTCCCAGATAGCAAATCCCATCTTCAAACAAAATAATGAGTTAAAACAAAAACCGAAAGAAAAATTCTGCCAATATGGTGAATTGCCAATGCATCACCATGTTACAACAAAGAATACCAGAGTGTCCTCTTGGCTGGTAGATTCCACAGCAGATCTGTAACCGCTGTAAAGCGGGTCATCAGAAGCTTGGTAGGTAAGAATCTTAGAAGGAACTCTCTCATATTCAACACAATTAAGGTAACCATTAACACAACCTAAAAAATGATAAAGATAGTCAATAAAGGAAATTAATTATGACAAAAGTGGGGTTTGGACTAATAAAAGAAAAATATTTTACAATATCCAACAAAAGCAAAGCATATCGTAAATCAACCTTCCAATGACTTTGCGACGCCCATGAAATTCTTTACCACCAATTTATGCAGATCCTCACCAGCCCAGATGGGAAAAATGCATATATTTACTCCCAAACCAACACCAGCACCCAGTGCAATAAGCAAGAATCGTGACACAGCCGTATGGACAAATTCCCTTGTCCTATACCCAGATACCATGATGAAACAATATGTCAACAAGAACACTCGAAACCCATATTCATAAGGCTTCATTGTTGGGTATAGCTTTGCATAAGTTGCAAGAAATCCTAGCGACCAAATAACACGTCATGAAAATAAAAACTAAACAAAACACAAAATTAGCAATTAGCAATTAGCATACATTGAGCTTTCCAGTGACATGCCATAAAAAAAGTATATTGATTGCAAATTCAGACCTATGATAAAGATACTAGCGAAAATAACAGCTTCTTCCCACTCTCCAGCTAGTCCACATAAGTGCGCCATACCCAAAGCAAGGCCTCCAGCAGAAAATGTCCCTAACCCACGGTTAAATCCTTTGCTCAGAGTCGCTCCTGCAGAAGAACATAGCCACTGAATATAAGAAAGTAAAACAGACATAGGCATGCTCATGTTGGAAGACAACAGACTACACTGCAAAAAAAAAAATTGCACTTTGAACTACGAACTAATTCAAGTTGAAGGCCCAGCCTATTAAAACAAAAGAAAGAAGATGGATTTAGTTAATTTAAAACAATTTGAAAAAACAAAAAGATGTCGGATGATTGAGGGAAGCTGTTCACCAAAATATTCATTCTTGTACAATAATAGCTTATCGTGAATAAACAAAAACACTTTAGTTTCACTTCATTATTGTAATCATGAGCTCCATGCTTTTTCCAATTCCCTTCAGGTGATTACACTGTCAAGCGTTCCACTTTATAACATACTGAACGTGAAAGTTGGTTTCTTTTCATGTGAACTACTAATGCTAACAATAGTAACAAACAAAAAATTAAATCTAAAAAAAAAGACCCTCAATTTTGCCCCCCCAAAAAAAAAAAAGTAAAATGCAACAAAACAAGAAACAACTATTTCTACCCAGAGACGCCCAAAAGCATAGGCACACGTGCAAATCGATGAACACCCAGATGATGAAATGACTAAATAAAGCCAAAATCAAAATGAATGGTAGAAAAATACATTTACCTATGCTAAACTCAAATACTACCACAACAGTGAGGATGGCCCAGACCGAGTAACGACTGAGCTGCTTGAAAGGCTCTTTGAGGAAAATCAGCAACGAAATGATCATCAAGGCCAGACCCATCTTGGCCGCGAATACGATCTTTCTCGGATCGGATTGACCCATCCGAATTGCCCGGTTAGAAACATTTTGTACAGTCCGGCACCAGCTCATAATTCTATCGGAAACTGATCGAAAAGTGCAGCAGCGAGGAGATCCATATGGCTCTTGTTCCTCGATGTGGACGAAGCCCAGCTCGGAGTAGTCCTTCTGGGTTGAGAGCAACCTCTCTCTTTTCTCTTGGAAATTGTACTTGAAAGAACCCAACTTTGCTGCCATTTTTCCAAGAGAACAGAAGAAAACAGAGGGAATAATGGAAATCTTGTAATACAACGAAGGGTGTGAGAGAGCTAGAGTTAGAAATTCTCTCCCTTTATTTGTGGTTATACTGTTTTTGGAGGGATTAGAGCCTGAGAGAGAGACAATGTTTTGGTTTGGGATGGATCACAGTAAAACAACTATAAAGAAAGAGTCTTTTGTGGTTTGTAGCTTACCAAATAACTTTTTTGGTCTGATGTCATGTAACTGGATTGAAGAGTAAGAGATAAGTTCAATAAAAGTAAATCAGGTACGGAAATTATAAGAAAGTTTCACGGTTTCAGTTTTCAGTTTTCAGTTTTGTGACGGGGTAGAGGCAGCGCCGTTACTTTATCCGGATACGACTTTGGGCTAGTTTGGCAATGCTGTGCTTTTAAAAAAAACTGCTTCCGCTGTGCTGCGAAAATAATCAGCTGTGAAAAAAATTAGTTAGGTGTTTGGTAAACTCTATTTAAAAAAGTGCTGTTAGTAAATAAAGTGTTTGGTATCAGAAGTGCTTTTAGTGTGTACAATGACAAAAAAGGACATGAATTATGATGATGAAATTATTTGTTGTTTTCTTATTTCTTTTTCTACTTTTAATTTTGTTTTAAAAAAAAAAACAACAACAACTTTACGCTACATAATTTTTCTCTTTTTTAATTTACACTTTTGTTTGGGTCAAACTTTTTCGTCTCTCTCTGGTCTCCTTTTTTCTTTTTCTCTTCTTTTTTTTTTCTTCTTTTTTCTGGGAACCCCCTTTTTCTTTCCAGATCTCTGCATCTTTCTGCTGCTCCTTCTTTTTCATCTTCTTCTTCTCTTTCCTCCTACCGCCTGCTTCTTCTTCTCCTTTCTCTCAGCACATTTTTTTTTTCTCAAAAATTCTCCTCTACTCCTTCTCCTTGTTCTATTTTTCTCCCTCTGCCCAGAGAAGTCGTCCTCCTTGCACAGTCGTCATTGTCATCTATAGTCCATGCTGTGGAGTCTCGTCGTCTGCTGCCAGTGGTCAGCTGCCATCGGTGTTCGTCTGTCATCGCCGTCGTCTACAGCCCATGGTCGGAGGTTGTGGTTGTGGTTAGCGCTTGGGTGGGGTTTGTTGCAGACGACGAAAGAAAAAGGGATGTGAGTTAGAACGAATAGAAAGAGGGAGGGTTGCGAACGAACAGAATGAAGAAGAAAAGGAGAGTTTGCAGAATGGAGAAGACGAGGAGTTTGCATCCCTCGATGTGTATTGGAGGGATAAGGATTGTCTATTTGAAAAATAAATGAGGGCATTATGGGAAAGTCAAAATTTCATTAAAACCACCGGTTAAATTTTTTTAAAAGCAGCTTTTAAAAGCTGGGTTTTGCTGCTTTGAAAAAACAGCGGTCATTGACCGCAATTTTTTAAAAAAGCTGCTTCTTGATGTTTACCAAACGACATAGTGTTGCAAAATTTTTATTAAAGTCGCTTTTTTTAAAATTTAAGCAATACCAAACGCTACCTTAGAGAGAGGTAAAGAAATAGACATTGTGAAAAACAAACGTTTCCTAGGCAAACTATTCATTGGATGAATTTATCCGTATCTTTATCATTTGTGGTCTCACAATCTAACAATACAACAGACATTCTGATAAAACAACACTAACCAAATGACAATAATATAAGCTCAAACCAAAAAAGAGTATAAATTTATAAAAGATAAATGATGATCTACCGACATTTCAAACAAAAGCTGCAATATCATAATATTAAAAAAGTCACTACATTGCAAATCATAAAACAACAGACGTTCACTCTTACAAGGGGCCGAAAAGGAAAAGCTTTCGCTCTTCTTTCAAAATCAAAATCACATTACTTTCTCTTGCGCAACCTTTCAATTGTGTATTCTAACCAACAATTTTGATTGTTCATTCATAAATTAATTATCTCAATTCTGTGAGCACCACCCTTTGAGAAACAACTTGATTTCATTACCTTTTTTTTTTTATGAAAGTTAAACTTTTCCGATTAATACTGTCTAATTAGATTAGTATTGTTCCAGTCCACTTAATCGATTTTTCCTGCAGTAGCTTCAAAACCTGTGTAAA